AATATTTTATTAGTTTTAATGAATATATTGTAATAACAACAAAATATTATCCAATTGAAAAATTGTAGTTTGTAGAACGTTGACAATTGCGGATTATTAATTTTACCAGTGATTTTTCTTTAGGTGTATTGTAAACGTAATATCTTGAAAAATCAAGTTAAATCGTGGCTCAATTATTATTATAATCTACAGTCACCATAAGAGTAAAATTACTTTAGCATTACCGGCCCATTTATGATACCAACTATAATACGAAACCCATAGGTAGGTACTCGATGCCTACCTACTCGAAAAAAGGCCCGAAAATAGTCGAGGGATATAAGTCCAGGGGTGGATTGGACCACCGGGAATTCGGGAGTTTTCCCGTTAGGCCACTTTTTCGAATAACTATGTATATTATAAAATGAAAATTCTTAAATGCCTATTAAGTAAGCATTTTTTTTCCGATTTTTCAAAATACGATAATACGAATTGGATTGTGGACTGTATGCAACAGTATATCAGGTAGGTAATCTACCTACGGTGGATTGCAGACTACACAACGATGAGTGGCAGAAAGCAAAAATATAGTATTTTTCGAAAATCAAAAACAGCAAAAGTTATATAAAGCATTTTTTTTAGTAGATAAAAAGATACACATAGATTTTGCGTGTTGATTCTGTTCATTTACCTATATCAGGTATATTGAGTAGAAGTAAATTATAAGCTTTTATTTAAGTATAAAAGCGCATTATTAAATATTATTGAATAGGTAATAACCTTTCTTATTAAACACAAAAATCGTAACATTAGTAGTTTAAATTATTCACTTTCACTGTGTTATATAGGTACATATAATTACATATAAGTACTATTATAAATGTGTAAACATAAACTGTTCAAAAATAAAAATAAATTTGATATCGATGTATATATACTACGAATAAAGTTTTATATAAATTAAATATCTCGCCAAATGTGTTAAAAAAATTGTAATTATTTCTGCTATGCCGGGCATGCTGGTTCCATGTTGTTTGGTTGTAAAATCGTATGTTACGTTTTTCATCATTCGGCGGTTTGTTGATGTGTTTGATATTGACTGGAGTATCTAACTTATAGTTCAGAACTCAAGGAAAAAGAATATGTCACCCGCGACTTGATCGGAGGTGTGGTTCTGTTGGAAAACTCGATTTCCCGGTGGGCGGCGGGCACTTGTGCAATAACGCGTGGATGCGCGCTATCTACATTTTATAGCGGCAGACGCGCGTAGTCGCAGAATTGGTTTCTCGCGGCGGCACACAGTGGTCTGTATTGTAAATTAGCTTACATTAATTAATACCTTCTTAATATGAGTTAAAAAAATTATGTTAAATATAAATTCTAATAGTTTTTAACATGCTAAATCCAAATTTCTTATCAGTTCTTAAATCAGCCCCTAATTAGGGGTAAAAATAGCTACTTTCCTAAATTTTCATAAAACTTGTATATTGAACATCAATTAATTTACATGTTCTAAGGGTGTATCCAAATATAATATTCATTCTTAATCAACCCCTAGTTATGGGTAATAGGGGATGTTATTAATTTTTAAAATTAAATTAAATACATTTATCAATATTTAACATTGTAAGTAATATAACTATAAAAAAACTACGTTAACAATATATTATAGTAACGTCACTATCACATAATGTCACTATCACTATCACAATCACTGTTCAAATTTGTTTCGTCTAACTGCATTACATTCAATAACGATTTAGCTTCAATTGATAAGTCTTGTAATATTTTTTTTGGAAGTAATCGTATGGTCGATATTAAAGGGTCGGATGATATCAATAACACATGTAAGAGGTCTTCGTTAGTGTTTATTCTTGAATTTTTTCTTGTTTGGTGTCTTCTGTACATTTTGTAATCTTTATTTCGAGATTCTTGGGCCTCCTCTGATAAATCTCCTAAAAAAATTTTAAATTTGCTTCATTATTCTAAAAATAAAAAAAAATAAAAAAAAATATAAATACCTATCGGTAAAACTGCATAACGAATAACATCAGCACCGTGTATTAATATTTTATGTACGCTAGATGGCATATAAAACCAGGGATATAAGGAGACAAAAAGTTTAGCTGTTTGTACACCATACTCATCAAATAAATCTGTATCAATATCTTGGCCACTTGCCATAACCATTAGAATATTTTTAAAACGTTCAATCAGATTTAAATTAACTCCTGTGATCTCTGCCGATTTCTCTGCATTTCTGAAAAATTTCCTAGCAGTATTTCCATCATTTGTGGTCCCGTGTCCTATAAAAATAACGATTACACCAAATAAATAGTTTTTAGGAAAAATAAAAAATTAGGTTACAAAAATGTATGATTACCTTGCAATACCACATCAACTAATAAGCCCATCTCTGAACGAAAATTGTTCTGAATCTCATTTTTCCGTGCTTTAAATGTTTCTTTATTTTCAACTGTTCTAACCTATATATTCCAACAATTAAATAATATATCTCAATTATATTACCTATATTGTCTAAATCTTTATCACTTATATTACCTGCCAACATTTAAATGGTAAACGATACGATATGTGTATAATACACTCAAAGAATCGTATCCACGCGACCACGCGTGTAAAGTCGATAAACCAAACTTAAAGTTCTGTTTATTTACTTGTCTTCTTTTAATTATTTCGACGTCATTGAAACTTTTTGGAGTGCCACCACATATATAACATGATTGACTGGATGTTCCGGTCATTGAATTACATAACTGTATACATTTTAAAACAAACCATTATACATTTAATATAGTTAAGTGAATTATAGTACACGTTTTACCTTTCCATCAACCATTGAAAATATTAATGTGTGTTTAATTTGCAGAGTTATGTTATCCAATAATATTTCTGTGGGCAGTAAATTATTGATTTCAATTTCAGTAGCATTAACTTCTCTCAATGTGCTATCGACTGTTTCCTTTTCAAAATTAAATTTTATTGGACGACAAAAGCGCGTGGACGATGTTCTAGGGTTCTGCCATACCACTATATTTTTTTCTTGTACTAAGCAACGTAACTGTATAGGTACCAATGAAAACATTTAACATGAACAAGTCATGGTCAGTTATGAATGATGTAGCACCGTTATTAAAGTTTTGTTTGTACTGTGCCTGGCCACTGCTACCATCACACCCCCATTTGTACAACATTTCAAACTGATTCATATTTTCTTTTATTTGCGTTGACTTGACTGATTCTATTTCAAAAATTCGGTGAACCGTATGGTCAAGGAGGTTTTGCATAGGAACCGAACAACTACTTTCAGAAATATGCAAATTATCTGGATAACATTTTTTTTTTTGCCTCTAGAATACTTGCATACGGTGGGTATATATCACAATTTTTTTTCTTTGCCCCAAGTCTTATATTTAGGTATTGTTGTTTGGTTAATTTATTTTCGATTAAAAAAGCCAATGCTTCATTGGCAGTATATGTAATAATTTTATTATGATCTACGTTGGTAATTGCATTTTTAATTTTAGTAGCTCTTGTTGGTGATGCCAAAGAATCATTTAGAAGTAAAGCAGCACTTCTTTTTCCCGACTTTTGAAATTTGGTTGATAATGCCAACACTAATTCCGGCGAAGAATATGATTTAACAATAGGTAGTACTTTTTGTCTTTTAGTTCTTTCAGAACATTCCGAAAATTCTTTTGACGGACGACCTGTTTGATTTTTATCATTATATTTTGTACATACATTATTTACAGGTAAGTTAAATATTGTTTTTAGCCATGCACTGTTATTTTTATTAAAAATGTGAATATTTCTATTACATTGTATCCATTTTCGTGATAAAACTATTGTATAACTATTTAAGCCAGCATTTATTTTATTTGTGTACTCAAGCATCCAATTTTTCCCATCATACTTCTCACATAACTTTTTAAACAAAAATTCTCTAGACTGTTTGGACTGGGGATTTAGTGGTCCGTTTCCTCGTAATAAATTAAATAAATCATTGTAAGTGAAATTCTGATTTCCCAAATCACGACTACAACTCGCTAAAATAAAATAATTAAAAATAAAATATTATTATTGAAACGGCTTTTTTTCCTAAATTTTCTAACAAGATATTACACTTTTGAAAAAATTATTCCAAGTTAATACGTAAGTATATGCAAAAAAATTATATTAGGTTAAACACCCAAGAGTATGTAGAATATTATAGAATAGTTTTGTAACAGTAATAATTAGTAATTTATTAGTGATACCTTTTTAAGTTCTAATAATAACAATTAACCATAATAAATAAAACATCGTTTTATCAACTACATCATAAAAAACATAAAAATAATATTATTAATACACTTACCTTCTGCAAAAATGTCCATACTTCAGGTTTCAAAAAGAAAAATTATAACTTAAGTACATGCACACCACACAGATCGCTAAACGTGAAAGACAGAATAATGCGTGGTATGGCCTCGTTGACCGACATTTCTGTTCCCTAATCGTAATTTTATTGGCTTCATAAGATATAACAGTTTCTCATAATATGAAATATTGTTTAATTAGGTAATCAGTTTTAATAATTTGATATCAAATAATACAATAAACGTACTTTTAAAAATAGGTTTTGGCAAGCTAATTTACAATACAGACCACTGTGCGGCACTCCCTTGTGTTTGCTGGTAATGTATAAAACCAGAGCGCGCCACATATTTGGTCGCTCCGTTTTATCTCATTACATTGTCCCCTTTTTTATTTTTTTTTTGTTTTTTATTGTGTTTTTTAATTTGAATATTCCGTAATGAGGGTGACAATTAAAAATAATAAAAATAAAAACTTTGAAATTTTGATTACTTTAAATGGATTTCAATAGGCTTTTAACGTTTGTTTTGCCGTTTGTACTCGCGAGTAGCTTTTATCTTCACTTTGTACAAGAGACGTTTCAGACGGGTGTTTGATACATTCTGGAACTCTTTTATGTATTTTTTGGTCTCCTATAGGCGTTAACGGATTTCTTGAAGAGCTTCAGGTTTATTGGTGATCATATCCCGGATTATTTCGATGATGACCTCTGATTCAGTTTCACTGTGCTGTGATGAGGTTTCTGTCATATCATTCTCCTCCTGGGTTGTGCTAGTTACTTGCTGAGTAATAGATGGAGTTTTGGGTGTATCTGGTGCCTTTTCCCAACATTTTAGGAACTCGACCCACGTCATTCCGGTTGCAGAAGGGCGTCTTTGCGCTAGGTACCACAGTTGGAGGTATCACGTATACAGGTTCCAGGCTATACTGCGTCCTCTTGGCTTCTTCTCACCGGAAAAACATGGCTATTTTTCTTTTCTACTCCGTTGTTAGCAGATTATCAATCGCAGTCAATTCAAGTTTGTTGAGGGTGTTCCTCAACCTGGTCAACGGGATCTGGACTAGCATGTTGCTCGGGTCCTAGGAGTAGTGAGTTTTTTACCTAGTGGTCTTTTGGTTATATACATAGTTTTCACAGGCAATTTAGTTTCTACATACATAGATATACATTTAAACATTTACATTATTTACATTATTATATTTTTTTTTTTTTTTTTTTTTTTTTATTGTATTATTATTGTCTAATTGTTTTTGTGAGATTCGCCTGGCTCTGGCTTATCTTCATAGTATTTTTTCACATTTTTGAAGTTAATAATATGATAGTTTCCTTGATTGTTAACCGTTACCGTGTTGTTGTTGTGTACTTCTCGTACGGTGTACGGCCCATGATATATCAGGAATAACTTATGAGTTTCTTTGTCTTCCACCGATGATAAGCGGTGCTCTTTTATTAATACCTGGTCCCCTATGTTGTATTGAGGAAATTTCTTTTCTTTGTCTTTATAGGTGTTTCTTATTTCTGCCTTTCTCTGTGTCCGTTTGATTATAATAATATAATACACACAACAGTAGCTTTGCATGTAACAATAATATTAAGAGGACGCAACAGTAAAAGTGAAACACATACAACGCTCAAGAGATGGCGTTGTGTGCCGTCTCGCCGCCGTCGCGGCAGGCTGCAGTCACTCCCATTATATTCGTGGCTGGGTCCGCGCTCCGTAGTTTCGGGAGAGATATATTATTATTCCACCGGCTGTCGTACTGAATGTTACCATGGCTTGATATAAATTATGTCGGCGCACGCTCTCTGCTTAGCGCTAATAGCTGCCTAACACAGTTGCAGGGTTTTTAAATACCCGAAACAAATATAAGAAATAAAATTCCAACAATTATTGAAAAATAAAGCCACTATTTATAAATATCAAATACTAAAATTAGATATAATATGATATATATATATATATTATATTGTTGAAATATACAATTAATATAATATAAATTAATATAAACAGCTGTCCAACATATCAATATCCCCGCCCACCGATTTTTATCTGGTGACTTTAACGGTCGTCTACCACATTTGCGACACACCATCCTATTCAAACCTTATAGTTATTATAATTCTGTCACACCGTTGTGCAACTTGTGTTGCGTTTCAATCTGCAAAAGGGGTAATACTCCCTAAATGGGTCGTACTAACTGCGGAATCTGTACGGAACTTCTACAACGTGATCAACCCACAACATGCTGCCCCAAATGCAACAACCTTTTCCACTCTTCCTGTGTCAATGATACTTCAAATAATTCACAATGGATCTGTAACGATTGTACTTCCCTCCCCAGTCAAACAAGTACCGACGACAAGTTCAACCTCATTTTGCAAGAATTAAAATCTATCAAATCTAACCAATCCAAATCAGACGAAGCTCTAAAGGTTATCTCTTCCTCGGTTAAAGCGTTAAACGATAGAGTCTCGGGGCAAGCTAAAACTATGACGTCACTTAGTCAAGCGATGAACACCTTAAACGGAAATTTAAATACTGTAACCAGTGATGTAAAGTCGCAAGGTGCAATTATTGGAGGATTAAATACAAGAATCGCTGCAGTAGAAAAAAGCTTGTCCGAAACCGTGCATTGTCCACCACCTACTACTACTCCTCTTGCTCTGAATGACATTACTCATGAAATCCAGCTACGATCCCGTTGTGCTGTTCACATCATTATTCGTGGTGTACCTGAGTCATCTGTCAATACATCTGTCTCTTCCTCCTCAGCAGACAAAACATTTGTCAAAGAAATGTTGGATAAACTTGAGCCCAAACTGCCTGAAACGGTAATTCGCAAAGTTTTTAGGGTTGGAAAGATTATCAATGACAAACCACGACTATTAAAAGTAGAACTCACCTCTCAGGAGGAGGTGAACCATGTAGTAATATCCTTTCTACGTCTTCGCTCCAACATTCCTGACGGGTATTCCCAGGTATCTATCACCAGGGATCGCACACCCTCCGAAAGACGTTCAATTTATGAAGTACATCAGGAACTACGTGATAGACAAGAAAAGGGTGAATCCAACATCTCAATCCGTTACTTCAATGGATTACCCAAGATTGTTCCAGCCAGGACCAACATATCACACCAGTCAAAAAACTCAGAGAAGTAGCAGCCATACACATTAATAACCATAATTCATCATGTAAATTTTCTCATTTGTCTAATTTTAGCTGTTTTTTGCCTCTACCCCCCTCCAACCAATGTAATTTATGTATACATTCGTCTAGAACATACCACCAACTCCTTAAAAATGGTTTATTAAATATCCAACCCAGATACTCCCTCACTTCCAATCTAATTCACCATACTCTTGTAGACATACCTAATACTCCCAACAAAGCGCAGGTACCCATTGGTTTTTACCAAAACTGTAGGGGTCTTAGATCCAAGCTAACTATTTTTAAATGTAATGTTGCTGTATTTAATTATATTTTTATCTGTCTAACTGAAACGTGGTTATGTGAGAGTATTGGTGACAATGAACTAGGCCTGGAAAATTACGTCATATTTAGATGTGACAGAAATCCATCTACAAGTAGTCTACGTAGAGGTGGTGGTACTCTCATTGCTGTCCGTAAAGATATACGCTGCCTACGCATATCACCCTCCTCCACCAATGTTGAACACCTATTCGTTAAATTCTCTACTCAGAACATCTCATTTATTCTCTCCTCGGTTTATATTCCACCTAGCAGTACCTTAACCATATATGAATCTCATGTATCATCCGTTCAAACTATTGCTTTAGCTAATACTAACTGCACATTCTTATTTTGCGGGGACTACAACCTACCAAACATCTCATGGTCCAATGATAACTATGGTCTATTATACTCCTCTCCATCAAGTCACTGTCTTCCCGAAACCTTCTCGTATCTAAATTTCTTCCAGCTAAATAACGTGTCTAACAATCAAGGTAAACATCTTGATCTCGTCTTCTCTAACAACAAAAACATATACATCGATAAATCTTCATCTAATGTCGTGCCCTCCGATTCTTACCACCCTGCGCTTGACATCTCTCTTCCAATTTTAACAGATACTCCTTCTCTCGATAAGTCACATACCTACTTTAACTTCAGGAAAACCTCATACCCAAAAATACTTAATTTTCTAAACTCATTCAACTGGCCTGAAACCATTAACAATCTTAACGTAGATCCAGCCACAAATGCACTTTACGATGCCCTCCACTCTTCTATCCTACAATTTGTACCTAAGAACAGATACGTTAAGTCCAAGTTCCCCTCCTGGTTGTCAAAAGATCTAAAATCCATTGTTCTCACAAAAAAGAAAGCACACGCGGTCTATAGGTCCTCCAATAAGCCACTAGATTACACTCACTTCTCTAACCTCCGTGCACAGTATAAATTTGAATCAAAACGCTGTTATAAAGCATTCCTAACACGCACCGAAAATAACTTCATAAACAATCCACGATCATTCTGGGACTTTGTTCGTAAAAATAAATCTAACAGCGATATTCCTGAAAATGTATACTTTGATGAATGCACTAGTTCTGGTTCTGTCCCCGTCTCTAATTTATTCTCATCCTATTTCAATTCCGTTTTTACTGCCCCTTCTCCTGTCTATCCAGATGACTTCCCCTTCTTATATTACGAATTGCCAAGTAATTGCAATTTTAGTGTAGCTGACGTTGAGGCTGGTCTTGCTAAATTAAAGAATGTGAATTCCACTGGGCCTGATGGTCTACCAGGTACTTTCTTATATAACCTTAAGTCTTTTCTGTGTGTTCCTCTATTTCAGATATTTAGGCGTTCTTTGGACGAAGGTATATTCCCGTCGATCTGGAAATTAAGCTCAGTTACTCCCATTTTCAAGTCTGGTGACAAATCGAACGTTAGAAACTACAGACCCATCTCCATACTAAGTCATATAGCGAAATTATTTGAATCTCTAGTTTTACTTAACATACAGCCATCTCTTAATGCAATCTTAATCGATGAACAATATGGTTTTAGACCAGGGCGCTCCGCAGCTATGAACCTAACTGTATTTAACAACTTTGTATTAGAAGCATTCGATAATAAATCCCAGGTTGATGTAATCTTTACTGATTTCGCCAAAGCCTTCGATCGAGTTGACCACAACTTCCTTTCCGAGTTTCTCTACAAATCTGGGTTTGGCGAACCTCTTCTGTCATGGTTCAAATCTTATCTGTCCGGTAGATTCCAATTTGTAAAAATCTATGGATGTAAGTCTGAGGTCCTTCCTATCACCTCTCGAGTTCCCCAAGGTGGCCATCTTTCACCCGTTCTTTTTACATTATTCATCAATGAAATAAAAAAAATCATCCCTAATTGTAATTTCCTCGCCTTTGCTGATGACATTAAAATTTTTCGCCAAATTGAATCTACGGAGGACTGTCTTGCACTGCAAGTCGAACTCAATAATCTAGTTATATGGATAAACTCTATCGGCCTCCTCTTAAATGTCAGCAAATGTCAATCAATGTCTTTTTATCGCAGCAAAAATGTCATAGTTCACAACTATACCATCAATGATACTGTGCTTGAATCTGTTACAAGTAAAAAAGACCTAGGGGTTCTTCTCACCAGTAATCTTAACTACCACCCTCATCTTCAATCGATCGGTTGCAAAGCATATAAGATGTTAGGATTTATAAGACGTGTTTCATCCGATTTTAAACTGTCCCTCTCATTAAAAACTCTCTATTGCTCTCTAGTCCGCCCCTTATTAGAATACGCTTGCGTACTATGGGATCCCTACACTGCATCTGACTCATTAATTATTGAGCGTGTTCAGAGGCTCTTCCTCTACTTTGCAGCTCGTGTCCTGAAAATCAACCACCCTATTCACGACTACACACCTGTCCTACGTGAACTATGCCTAGATACCCTAGCTGACAGAAGAGCTAATGTAAATCTTAAATTCCTTCAGCGAATTATTGATGGTACATATGATGCACCTACTCTCCTTTCCTGCATAAAATTTCGTGTACCTCAACATTCCACACGTTCCACTGCACCATTTGTCATCCCCTTTCGTACCTCCAATTATAGTCGCAATCGCCCCATGGACAGGCTAATGCGTCTGGCAAATGAGTCTACCACCTTTTCTTAGGTTAGTTCTAGTTACCAACACTGCTACAATCCTAATTATACTTTATTCTGTGAATTTTTTTTTTTTCCTAAACTAATTGTATAAAAAAAAAAAAAAAAAAAAATGTTATAATGGTGTTTCAAAAATTGCTTTACCTTTGTTAAAATTGCCCTAACAGGCGTTGATTAATTAATAAATAAATAAATAAATAAATATGTAGTATATGTAGTCAGCCTTGACACGTGTGTACAATATAGTAACTAGTTATGTACGAGCATATGACTCACTCTCTTTACGGATGTAACATGACCTCGGTCGTGCATATATATAGGGCCTTTGATGTATGTAATATTCACTTGCACAGGCGTCGTCACAGTTTAATTGTCCAGTTGTACGTTATTATATATTATACTTATACATAATCATATTGTCGTGTTATTAC